TTGCTAAGCAATAATACGTTTTGGAAATCTGCCCATCAGTTATGCAGTTGCTTTCTTCACAACAACAAGAAAAAAAGAAAGAAAACCCTGAGGATATCCTTTTATTTAGAGCGGCGTAAGCATTTATGATAGCAGCGTCCTCTTTCTACAAGTCAAATCATTGAAAGCTACACAGAACCAAGTAGAGATTACCGTGACTGACTTTCCTTCTGCTTCACTTTCAGACTAATATAACATGTGCTAGATAGAGCCATTTCTTAAATTCGGAAAAAAGGGAAGGGTAGGAACAGCCCTTAGGAACCTTCTCAGTGCTGAGCTGTAAGCATGCTGTTATATTCCACCCCAAGTACCCACACCATCTATGAATGAAAACAAAAGGATCACGTAGTGATAAAACATATAAGCCCTAGAACATACTTTTGCAAATGCCAGACAGATTTAGGTTAAATATCAAATATAAGCTAGAATTAGCAAATTAGAAGATGCCCAATAGTGACATCATTGAAAACCCAACATTTCAAACTAAGTTACTGCAATAATTCTTAAAATAAAGTGTTAAAACTGGAATAGACCCTCTAGGCCAGATAGAAAACTTAGTTCAAACACAGTCACTCCTATTACTTTCATAAACAGATTGTGCACCATTAGCTAGCTGCATTTTTTTTTGCATTTTTCTCACATCAGAAAGTTGCTTTAGGTGTTCTTCTGATAGTCACAAGATTTTTTTTTTAAAACTCCTCACTATAGGCCAGTTTCTCCTGCCAGGTTTGAAAGAACTCTTTACTACCTCCTCCACCCCAGCTCTGGGGTAGGTTTTTGGGGAGTGGTTTGGGGGGGTGGGGGGAGGAGGGTTGAGTGTAATAAGTTCATAATGTCATTCCCACTGTGCTGGTGGGCCCTGTATTCAAAACCAAGATCTCTTCTAAAGACTAAAGCAGAATATTCATTTGCTTTTTAAGCTATAGCTGAATTAAGAAAAAGAGGACAAGGAAAAGAATAAAGCTAGTATGGCTTGGAGAATTTCATTTTTAGCGTCCTTGGAAGAGGTTGAATTCACCCAGGTCCTCTGAGGCTTCCTGAGTAGGCTGAACCACCTATTCAAAACTTTTCATTAAGAGTTTCTTCTCTTGCATGTTAAAAACCTTTTTTGGGGGGGAGGTGGGGGGAAGGCGGCAGTTAGCATTGTCTTCTTCCAAGCCTGTTAAAGAGTCAAAAGTAAACAGAAGTTCTTTTCTCCTCCAGAAACCACTTTCCTGCAGATGACCATCAGGCAAGTTCAAGACACTCCCCAAACCACCCTAGATGTGTTGATATTAACATGTCTTTGTATCAGCCAAAGGACAAGACAGGAAAGCTTTGCTTTAAAACTGTGACCAAGCATTCTTCATTACTCTCAGAAATCCAAGTATCTATGTTGCCAATCCCTTCAGAAGAAGCTTGCTTATACCAGCCTCCTGCTTCTGGCCATAACACAAATTGGCATTAAAATAGAAGGTGAACCCATAATCCCAGGCTTCCGTGCAAAACAGACTATAAAACTGCACGGCGCATTCCGAGTTTAACCTGGGCTATGCTCCGCACAACGCCAGGGACACTGTTTCAAGTACTCAGAGACTTAACGGAGTTCAAAAACGGGCCCGGCCCGGCCGCTCCCTGCGAGGACAGGCCAAGCACGTACAGTACCTGGAGAAGCTGTAACAGGCAAAAGCACCAAGCACCTCCTGCTTTCCCTCTGCGCCGCGCTCCCCTGCCCTCCCGCAGCCCCACCACGAGCAAACACTCAGCTCGCTCACTGGAAGCGGTAACAACCACACTGAAGCTTTCTGCTGTGCTTGGAGGGCTCATACAGGACTGCAGACGAGCCGCAGCACAGAGGGGGAAAAAAATCCTCACAATAAATACTTCTGCAGGCCCATTACACACAGAGAAACCCAGACCACAAAACCAGTATCAGAACTGAAAAGCAAGACACTCTACCTTGCCTTCAGGGACAAAAAGAGGGTTCAACTCACCATCCCCCACATTTAGAGGCTCTTACGCGTTAGAGGCTCTTATCCTCATCCCCTACTAGCGACTACTCCAGGTTGCAGATCTGCCCTTTCTCTCTGCTAGCTCCTCTGCGACCACACTTAGCTCCATCTGCGTTAAAAAGGTCCTTCTGGAGCTCTAAATAAAGCACCAATATGTGAAACAACCATCTCTTTCAAGACCATGCTTCTTCCAGGAGCAAAAGAGGCAGAGCCCATCCCCGAGCGCGGGGAGCCCCCAGCACCGGGGCAGCCCGGAAGGTTCCGGCCGCGGCCGGGGGGTGGGCAGGCGGCGCGGGGGCCAGGTGCGCCCCGCACAGCCGCCGTCAAAGCCAGCCTAAGCAGCTGCAGGCAAGCAAAAGGTATTGCTATAGGGTTGTCACAGGCACAGAAAAGCGAAGGTAGGGGGCAGCTGCTGAAGCTGGGGTCTTCAGCACTCCACAAAATGCAAAAAGGCCCTGTGGAGACAACAGAATGATCTAAATACAGCAATAGCATTCATGTAATAATATTCCTTGGTTATTTCCAAGACTTGTCACAGGGGAGTTTTAATCCTTTCTTCCTTAGGTATCTGGCTGTTCTGGTCCTGTATCAGATCCTGTAAATTCTTTGTACATGAGTTTTCTTTTTGGTGATTCTCTGCAGACATAGATTTGTTCTTTTAAGGTACAGCTATTTGTGTAGAAAGTCAGCAAGTCTAACCTTAAAGTCCGGTCATAATTTCCATTACAAACACCTATTTCCAGAATTTTACTCCACTTGAATAAAAGTGTCCCACAAGCAGAAATAGTACTCGGACAAAAGCAATTAAAGATTTAAAACAGAGACCCAGTTTTGCACCTACTATCACTGGTTTTATAAACCTAGTCCACTTTTCAGCAATTAGGAATCTGACCCTTTAAAAACCATAATTGGTAGGTGCAAAGTAAACATGTTGGATTCATGACAGCTAAGTGTCTGTCACTCAGGACTGACAGCTGCAAACAAAACTGTCGAGGTTACTGTCCTGCAGTAGGGACAAGACAGTTTGCCTGTTTCAGCAAAAAAAATGCTAATGAAGGGGTTTTTTTTTTTAAGAAGGAATAAGAAGCATTTCAATGCCCCAAACATTAAATCCTTCATTAATGATGCAGTGTTGTACGTCCTTCAAACGAACCCAGGCTAAGCACAGGTGTTGGACATATGGTGCCATATCACACTCAGCTGGGAATTGCCTTTATTTTATTGCCTGTCACGGAGTGTTTTAGTGACTGCAAAAGACCAGTAAAGAAGGATTACTTTGAAACTTTCTGAAAAGGAAAAAATGCACTAGGGAACTTTAAACAACAGTAAATCTAAGACCTATTGCACAGCACGAAAGATCTCAGGAGAAGGGGAGAAAGCCTTTCAACTGTGAAAAATAATCAGAGAGAGGTGCCACCACAAGACCATTGCTGAAACATATTTAAGAAGGAATAAGAAAAGATAAGTAGCCAGCGCTTGGGCAGCATTTTGTTCCATGGATTCCATCCTCGTGGATCAATACAATACTTACTGTCAGCAGAGATTACGAGTTACTGCTGTTGCTGGTAGGACAGACATTTCAAATGCATTTTCATGGGTTTTCCCTTCTAAATTAAAATGGGTGTGCAAAGACTGTGGGCTGAACTCAAAATAGGAAGTTAAGCACCCCAGCGCTATGCATTCCAACACATAACTATGAATGGGGATAACCTGGGCACAGCTTCATCATGCCCATACGGCCAGTGCTGGTCTAAGGGGCAATCCCACCCTACCTGCTACACGTCTCCATCCCATCTCATGTTGTACTACCAGCATTTGTCAGTTGACCTGGCAGTAACGTTTTGTTTATTTGTTTGGGTTTCACCATAGGGCTACATGAACGATAGAAATAACATAAGAGAGGGCAGTAGGAACTAGGCAGTTCCTTTTAGCAGTAGCACAGAAGGCAGCTGTGAAACTGCACTTTCTCATGCTGAAAGAACAGGAAGCAGAGTTTGTCAAGGCAGGACACACCTTTTATTAGACTACCTAATGCTGCTGTAAAAAAATTAGCAGTTTAAAACACTCAAGCTCTTCTTCAAGCAGCCTACCTGAGGTATGGATCTGCCTGAGAGAGTACAATCCTGACAAAGGTAGTTATTTGTCAAAAACAAGCAAACAAAAACTTTGATAATCTTTGGGCCAGAAAGAGAGCGAAAACGACTCTGCAGCTTGGTGGCTGGAAAATTTATTTGTAGGACCCAAATTCCAGTTCCTGTTGCAATTAAGTTATTTTGTATGTAGTGAAACTGTTTCAACTGGAGGCTACAGAAAACCTGCAACAGAATATTCTTGATCCCACTTGCTAGGATAGTCTTCTGAGAGACACTGTCTCCAAACTGGATGGGCAAGTGAACTGAGCCTCTCTTTTCTTCTGTGCTATGTGACATAAGCTCATGCTACCGAGTGTATACAGGGGATGTTACCACTTCCTTTGTGTTTCCAGGAGGGCTGTGCAAGTAGGAAAGACAGGAAAATACACAATTTGTAAAACTTGCAATAGCTTTGATTTGGGAGAAGTGCTGTGATGCTCAAGCCATAAGCACTTTTTCACATGAACAGAGTCTGAAACCTAGTGGCTCCGGACCTTGACTTAGTTAGGTGGCAGCTACTGTCCCAGAGGGGAAAGTTCTTATGAACAGTCTGTAAGAGTATGAACCTGTTCCCTCAGCTACTGAATTTCATCTCTCTTATCTTTTGCCTGTCCTCAAGGTTATTCAGCTCCTTTTTATGATATTATGTCTCTTGCACAGTGACAATGTTTCCCAGCTGCATGCCAACAGCAGGTTTCATTAGCAAACTCTTCAATTTTGCACAAAGGTCATTAATAAAATATCACATGTGTTTGCCTAAGACAATAATAATTTACCACAGGACTAAAACAGAAGAATTTGAGTTACATCAGGATCAGACAAAACAAGATGAACTGACCTGAAATATAGCGGCCTGAGTAAAAGCCATACATAGAAACTGATTCCAGCAACAGCATATAGGTAGCAAAATAACCTTGCTATTAATTTATCTGGAAAAAACAAAGAAAATGTTTGCTATTTTTCAACAATCAGAAATCTATATATACCACACTTTTATTAAAATACAACAGTGGATATGGATTAATGAATTAGTCATCTGCATTAATCAAAGAGAATGTTTATTATCTAAAATCAAACTAAAGGCCTCCTTAGCCTTGTGTTGCATGCCAGCTAATTAGCATGATCACCCACCAGTCTGGCCCGCTGAAGGAGTGCATACCCACCAACCAGAACATCCAACTGAGGGAACATTTTTGGTCCAGTCACCAATTGGTTCTCAGAGAAGATGCGCAAAGGAGTTGTCATAAGCAGGGCAAATTGCTATCCTCTATCCTGGCCTATCAGGAGCCCCTAAAACATAAAATGAGTAAGGCTTCACATCACTTATTGTGTGACTTAATTATCAAAGACTACAAGATACACTAAATTAATTTAACATCTACTACAAGTAAGCAGGGGAGACTGGATTCTTGTGTTGTTTCCTGATGTTGTTAGAGCAAGACCTTCTTTCTTCCTTTTTCTCCTCCACTCCGTCCTCCTCGTTCATTCTTGAGAGGTTCCCCGTTACTGTGTAAAACCCATTTCCTCTCTCCAGTCAAGAACTGTCAGGTCCACTTCAGCATCAAGCCTTATTTCTTGCTTCTTTTGCCACATCACCTGTTCCTTCTTTCTGTTTTTTTTTGTTGTTGTTTTGTTCCTAACAGTTTTTTAAGCTGCCTTTACTCTAGCCTGTATTAATACTCGGTTAGATTAATAAAACATAGTTGATTTGTATTCACAGGGTCAGGTCTTATTTCTAGTTTGTTGTTTAAAAGGTATCTGGCAAGTTTATTTAGGGTATATCATCCTGCAAGCACTGTTTATGTTTGATAAAATAACGAGTAACCTCAGAGATACACAGCTGTATTCAAACGGTATACACAGGAATCTTTCTTTCATTTGTTATTCTGCCTATTATATACAAACATACATATATACCTGAGTAAAGAAAAAACAGATCACCACTCCAAATGAAGAAAATTAGTAAGCAGTTATTAAGAAGAAAGAATACACTATTACTAAACTGAGATTTAAACAAAATTATATATTAAGTACATAAAAATAATATGCAAGGATATGAAAATTGTAGCCAAGAATTAATGAGTTATGAAATACAAAAATTAAGATTGTGCATATTTGTTATGATATGCATCTTTATTACCTGCACATATACTACTACTTCTACAAGGCCTCATTCAGAGTTAGACAGGTTGCTCTCTTAATGAGCAGCAACCCAGTATTCTATTTTGCTCTTATTTGCTCCTTGGGCAATGGCCAGTACTGTACTTAGTGCACGCTATTCCAGCACAGCTGCAAAACAGGAGGATTAGACTCCTTGTAGTGGCCTCTATAGCTCCTACTCATCACCGTAGCACCCCACTGCTTTATAAACATGAAGACAGACATCCAGATATCCAGGGCAATACTTGACCGACTTAAGTATGAGATAATCTCTCAACCTCTCTCTCTCCCCCCATCTCTCTGTATGTGTGTGTGTACATATATATTGCATTGCTTGTATATATATATATATACACACACACACACACACGCATATGCACGCACGCACATATATATATATGTATAAAATACCATGTTATGTTGATTAGACGCCTCACCAACATCTGCAGAACTATTCCTACAGACAATAACTTCTCCTTCCCTAAGTCATCTGTAGGACACTTTTTTTCTCTTATTTTTGTTGGTAGGAATCTTCCTCCATCTCCTTCTCTCACATGAAAATTAGTTCATAACAGAGAGAGAGCACGTCTGTACCACACAGTAGAGCATAATATGGAGTTAATTCCACCATTCTAGTAACTCCCCCGCAAACACATCACAGTATAAACTAACTCAGTACCAAAGGCAGGACAAAACAGCACAGCACCCATACTAAAACACTTGACTCCTAGTACCGCTAGAGTTGACACACTACCCTGCTTGCAGTACCAAACAGCTGAGAAATCTGTTTCACCGTGCTGCACTGAAGCATCTAGATATGGAGAGGGCTGACAAGCTTTTGTCCTCTAAGCCTGATCGTTACAGAGCAGATTTGAAATCTACAGAAAATGTTAGCTGTCAAACCCTGTGACCATGCACCAATTTTGACGCTACTGACACCTACAAAGAAAAACATTTAAACAAATGCATTTGTTAAGAAAGAGCGGAAATTAGATCAAAAAAACTATGCTTTGATTTAAAAAGTGGCTTAATCCAAATGGCATTTCCTAGAGGAAGAAGAAAGATTTTTCAGCATAGCTCTGGAAATGGGACACATTTAAGAGACTATCTGCTCGGTACAAAACACATCAAAATTACTGGTTAGACACTGGATAGTGGATAAGATACTTTGTCTGAATCAGGCTTCAAATGGCTAGCCCCAGACACCCTTGATCAGCAGTCCTTCTTGATATTAAAACAGATGGTATAAATACAGACTTTTTTTTTCCAGGTAAATCTAAGAGGACCTCTTATTAATGCACTTCTTGCTTCTTAATAACTAAGCATGCTTAAATGTCTGAAAGCCAACAATAAAATTATGATCTTTGGTGACATCTGATGGGAAGACTAAATCAGGTTTTTCTCATTCCATTCACTGTCTCATAGTAAGGGATTTTAATCCATTAGGATTTTAACTCAGTAAGGTAAGGAAGATAAGTCTGACATTCAGTCATGTCTTTATTGGCAATGTCTTTATTCCACATAAGTGAACATGGCCAGTTGTTAAAAATGTTCGAGTTTGGTTTAAACAAACAAACAAACAAACCAACCACCAAGTAGTATAGGGAATGCTTTGTTCATGTTAATTAATGACATTCATACAGTACTAAATAATGATTAGTAAGATTGCAGGTGTTATACACTACATTAGTATCATAAATATGACTGTAATTTTAATATACTGCCTGAAAACATGTACTCTTTGAATGAAAGGCTATATTCAATAGATCTCTGTATATGCTAACAGAACTGAAGGTCAGCTTGTAGCATCCAAAAGAACCTGTTTACTAATTCATGTAGCGTTTCTCAGCATGCTATAAGGGTACAACAGTAGAATCCTAACTTCTTGGTATTCTGTAATGGTGGAGAGCTTATTGGATTTTTCTTACTCGTCTGTCATGCCCTAAGGGTTTCTAGATTGTTAGTGATCAATAGATCAGTTTAGATAAGAATGATAATTCAGATAATTGAAAAACATATAAACTACCCTAATGGATCTATGGCACTAGTTGCAAATGAATTCACTGTTTCACCCTCTCCTGGGTAAAAATGTTTAATGACAAAATGTGCTATTTAAACAGCACATCTTAGAATATCAGAGATGCTAGCTTTGATGATTCCATAATAATTGCAAATTATTGTTTGGTTTATTCATCCAAAAGCATAAAAATTACACTTTAAATTTATCAACTTTACTGAGATCGAGCTCTGTTTAGACCTTTTGTATATTTGTATACAAATATATGTATATGTTTAGACCTCATTGTACATTTGGTTCTGCAGTTTCTGCAGTTACAAATGTCAAATGTTCTCTCTAGAAGAGCTGCTCAGTGTTGTGAAAGCTTATTTGTAAGTCCAAACAGGCAAAACCCAAGGTCCAAGAGCACAGAGTCCTTATTGTCCATACACTGGAAGCCATCTTCCATCTCCGCTTTATGTTTACTTTTACCCTTGCTTAGTACCCATGTCTTCTGTATTCAGTAAGGGTAGGCACAGGTTTAGAGCTAGACCAATTGGGAAAGACACATGCACGGGCAAATAGTAGCCCAGGAGGCAATATAGTCAACCGCACATAGGAAGAACAGTCACGACAGCCCGAGACACAAAAATACCAATGTAAGTAATTGCATTCTTTTATACATTATCCACTCCTCTTACTACTGCATATGCCACAGACATTTTGTGCAGCCAGGGATTATGTCACTCTCCGTCCTTCCAGCTATTTTGCTGGCTCCTACCTATGGGATACATTCTCCAAATTTCCTTGGCCATCCGTTCTAAACACCACCCCAGTCCATTCTCACCAACCACACAAATATACACCCTCTGCCTCGTTACAATTACTTTGCAATTTGCTCCCTTCTTATCTGGTAGTCTTTCTGCTAGCAATATCATAATTTATTTCCCTAATTGCTCCTGAAAATTCAGATTCTCTCTTGTTTGAGACTAATGAAAATAAGAAAGACTAAAGTCATCCTGGGTGACTACGCACAAAGCAGGTGTGAGTACCTGATAGAGTAACTGCAGGAACCTTGAACCATTTCAGATTACTGGAAAAAAAAGAGTAACTGGGAAATCCAATTAGAGATTTCTTATTTCTCACATTTCCTCCAGTTCTGATGGAGATCTTTTTCCCAGTAGTTTATCTACGTGCTCAGTAATCTTATTCTTTAATACTGACTCTAGCAATCTTATGAGGGATGGAAGTCAAACTCATGGTCTATCATTTGCAGCATCCTTCCTAGAGATGTTTTTTGTGGACCTTGGCAAACGTCCTGCTTGTGTTGTATTTAAATAACTTTTCACTATCAATTTGAGCATCCTTTGCAAAGCGCTCCTCAAATTCTTTGTTAGTCGTCTTAACTTTCTGGTTACATTTGATCTGCCATGAATATGGGCTCTCTTAGTCTCTTGTTCCAGATGAAATTTTCATTTTTTAAAAGCCAGTTCTTTCTCTGTTTCTATTGTTTCTCTGTTTCTCTGATTTTCTATTGAGCCCCATAGGGGTTTTATTGGACCACTCTATTTTCTTTTCAAATTTCAGCAAAGCGTTTGCCTTGACTTCTAATTTTTGAACAATGTCTGGGCTGCCTCTAGGCTTCTTGCTTTTCAGGCTGCTCCTACTTCTAGGTTTTATTCTTTTCTTTGACTCATTTGTATGCAGTTCCTTTTCTTTAAATTGAATACTTGTGGGCTGTATTTACTTTGCTTAGTCACTCCTGCTACAGTGTTAAACCTAGTCATACTGTAATTGCTATTACAGATCAGATTTCTAATACCTCTTGAGCTGGACCTGTGCACCACTGAGGACCAAAAGTCAGAAGAGCATCTTTTCCCATCAGTTTGAAGACTAGCTGTTCCAGGAAGCAGCTGTTTGTTACCTCAAAAAAACTATTTCTACATCTTGCCACAGATGATAAGCCGTTGATTACATGGGTAGCTGAAACACCCCGCTACTACTACTTGTCCAAAACTTGCACGTTCTCTAATCTCACTAAACATTCCTGATTTCTATGCCATATCTAGATCCCGACTGGGGGAGGAGGGGGGAGGAAATGGGTGACAGTACAATCCTAACACTACATTTCTATTATTACAGTATGATACTTCCACTCACAGGAATTTGGAATTTCACACTGTTTTCTCTTTTTCAACAATTCTATCCTGTTACACTTCATTTTAACCTCCAAAAACAATGCCCCCCCTCCACTTGCACATCTTATTCTGTCCTTTGTGTAAAGCTGATGTCTGGGAAGATCACATGCCATGGATTACCCCCCCTTCCTGCAATGTCTCCAAGTTGCTTCTCTGTTAGGCTTCTTATACAAAATGAAACATTCTAGTTCTCCCATCTTATTTTTCCGGCTTCTAGTACTGATACAGAACCACTGTTAAGTTTTGCCCTTGGTCTGTTGCCAACAATATTGGACACACTGTCAGCTGACGCAGTAAGCAGTCTCATTTGCTTTGCCTACTTATTGCAGTTATGCCATTTTCTTCCTGGCCTTTTTAGAACCATACTGAACATTAGACTGGTCCTTTCTGGGGATCACAGCAGTCCAGCCCTCGTTCTCCTGTGTACCTGCAACTTCCTTCCAGTATTTAGTACTCCTTTTTAGCCCAGGTTCAACCCTTCCTTCCTGTATAGGTTCCTCTTGTCCTGAAATGTTCCCCCATTCCTAATGTATCTAAATCTCTTCTCCTAATATCTAAACCTAAATAATTTTAAACCGATTATGTTAATTTTTTGCTAGTGAACAATTGATCATCACCTCTTAGAAACCCGCAATCTATTATAGATTAGACTTACCAATTCCTGTGGTCCAGAGCACGGAATTTTTAAAATGTTTGAATTTTGTGAAAGGTGCCAGATTATTAGCAGGCAGCTGAAGTATCCTATTTACGTACAGACAATATGAACACTGCAGTGCAAGCTTTTCCCATACCACTCCATTCATTTATCTCCATCATGCCCAGGAAAAATTCTGCTAAGGAAAAGGAAGTAAAAGGAGTCCTATGAAGCCTCATTCACAGCAAGCTGTTACAGATAATGATTCAGAGAGGAAGAGAAGGGTGGGGGGTAGCATCCAGGAGCTGGATGCTAAACACCGTGTTAAACAACCAGCTCCTGTAAAAACCTGACAAAACAACATGCACTGGTCCTTCAGCTTCAACTTATAGGGGGAAAACCATATTCCAGCACATGTGCAGAAGAGGCAATTCACGTTAGTTGTTTTAACACAAACAAAAGTGAGTATCCCAGAAGCAGTTAGTTCCTTAAGCGAAGAGCGGATAATATTCTACCTGCCGCACAGCTGTGTTCTCATTCTGGACCCTTGCTTCTGAAGTCTCAGGTATCAAGAGGCACCTTCAGCAGACAGAGGAAGAGCTATTAAAGGTGTAGTATCTATGCAGAAGCGTATCACGAACGCTAATGATTTGCGGCCAATAGTAGTTCAATTTTAAAACGGAACAGCCTCTCTCTGCACCTCCTAAAAGACTATCATTCCAATGACTGAAATAGGCAAGTTATTTTGCTTTGTTTGCTCTTTAGTTTGACTTGTGGAGCTGTTCATCAAACCATGTACGGTGGTTTATGTGATTTACAATGGTAAAAGAACTTCTTATTCATGAGAAAGTACTCAATTTAAAAAATGTCCAGTCACCTCCCTGAGCTGCTCAGTCATATGTTAGCTGTCATGGGATAGATGAACACCCTGACTGAAGATAAGCACCAAAAATTTGTATTCCAGATCTGTACAATTTTGTTCAGTGGTTTAGAGCATCTCTTGCAATAGAAAAAGGATTTCCATAGCATCTGTTCAAGCGATGTCTGTCCCTGGACACAGTAATAGGAAGGGGAGTGTTCCCCTCCTTCAGAAAGCAAGTCTCTAAATCACTTTGAATTTTTGCTGCTCCTAGGTTTGGTACTTCGTGTGGAATTTTTTTCTCCCAAGTAAATCAAAGCAAGCTTTAATTAATCAAAGCAGATCTTTATTTTAAAATGAACATCAGCACATCAGATGGAAATTATATTGATGAGCATGGGCTGGATTCAGCGGAACATGAAGTTTTTTGGAGACAGCTTCCTTTTTAGGCTCTCTCTTCCCTCTAAATCTTTGATATTCCCTTCCAGAACTTCTTCCCTTTGTAGGCCCTCAGCCGTCACCTACAGCTTTCCCACTCAGTGATTTTTGCTCTGATTACTTTTCTGTTTCAGTAGCGCTTCCAGATCTTTTCATGAGGAACAAATCAAAATGATCCAAACAACACTCCTTGGCTGAGGAAAATGATGGTGGGAATATGAATAGAAAATAGAAAGTCTTGGAATCTGATGCCAAACACCTTTCTGAGTCCAAGTCCAGTTGCTTAGGTAGTGAATCAACCTTTCAAATTGCACAATGGGGAAAGAAGTTTTCTATCTTTGCTCTAACTAGGGCAACAAAGGTAAGAATGTTAGTGTGACGGGGGTGCAGTCCCTACATTGCCATTCCATCTAAGAAAACTGACTGCTACTATTATCAAAGGAGAGAGAAACACAGTTTCATTACTCCATTTACATGCATTCTTCCTACAAGATCCAATGCCCCTTGTACTGCACAAAGCAATGAAAAAAGGTAAGGGTTCTGAAAGGAAGAGTTCTGAAAGGCAGGAAAGAGTTAATGGTGTCATCTTCATGTCAGAGAAATGAAGACTCCATCACATCTGGACTAGGCAATGCTATAAATTGAGCATCTGAATGGAGAAAATATAAATACAAAATTGATCGTATTGTTTGGTGTGACAAGCAGCGCTTTATTCCTTGCAGGTTCTCACTTAAAAATGCCACGGATTCCAGGCCAACAGTAAGAACATTTGCAACTTTGAAAGCAAGTTTGTGTCTTAATGCCATGGTTTGCATTCATGGGCCAAGGACAATTACAAGAAGTTTTGCAAGAAAATACCTAGGCTGTTTAAGAGATTAAGCGTACTTTGATTCACATATGACCACATATGACATTCGCAATGTATTTGAAAAGTGACATTTTCCAGGGTAGTAACTGCCAGCAATGCTAGGTGCTTTAAACAATGGTGAAGCCTACACTGCAGCAAGACTGATCAGTTTTGAACGGCTCGTTATGCAACTGGAAAATGTACTTACTGATCCATAAAATTAAATTAATCATAAACTGTGCCCCTTTCCCTCAAGCATCACACATTTAATAAAAAAGGAGCTTAGTGAATCTATCATCTCTCACCTGTACAGCCTATAGATAGCACGCATTCAGTTTTGAATTTAGCATCATGGCCATACATCCTAAAGGAAGGATTTTCTTGGATGTATGCATATTGATTCAAAGAATGAAACCAATGTCTTCAAGAGTTTTATGAACTGAAAGTTTCAGAGACATTTTCAGTAATTCTGCAATATCCATTTTACCCCCAGTAAGCAGCTCTTACTCTCTCAAATTCAAGTCTTTCTACCAGGTTTAGAATGTTCATATAACCCTCAAGATCCAAATACTGCTTGTATGCTGTATGTCCGGAAACACTTAGTGCTGTAAAAAACATTGACATTCACTATACTGGGTATATACACATATTTCTCCCTGACATCTTTCTTTACCCAGCAGAACACAATGTTTCTTATGCCACAGTGATACAATTCTCCATAAATAAGATCCCATCATCTCCCCTACGCCTTGTGCACAGCCACACAGTCCCATCACCTTCTCTGTGTAAGCTCTGGTATTCATGTGGCTGGGAGGTGAGCTCAGGCGTCAAACACCCCACTTCATCAATTTGTTGTTTACATGGCTAAGGTTATTCTACGCAGCTAATGTGTTTAGCACAAAAGCTAACACCAGCACAAAGAAAGCAACAGAACAAAGGCTAAATCCTTCTTTCAGCAACAGCCCAGAGTTAAGCTACATTAAAGTAATTGGGTCACCACTGCCTAAATGTTTCATCAGAGTAAAGAACATTGTCCCACAACAAGACCTCAGCTTCTGAGTCCCCCACCTATGGAAATAATATCTCCAATAATGACAGGAAAGTGAAAGATTCTGTTTTAAAAGTAGAAAAGACAGCAAAAGATGCAGCTCATGCAGGTCTTCATACGCCATGTACCAAACATAAATAGTGACTACCTTCTGATAAGCCTCTTCTAACACTTTCAGTGGTAATGCAGTTGCAAAGGCACTCCAGAAGCAGGCAGATCTTTTAAATCAGTAAATTGGGTTTCTTCTGTTCCATCTTTAGGGAAAAGGAACAACTGTATAAGTCACTGCACAGTGTAAAGAGAGTCAGTTTAGGACAGACAGTAACAGAAGAGCTGAGTGAAGAAGCAGAACAGAAGAGGATTTTAAAACAATTCTCTCTCTAAAGATGCGTTTTCATGTAGTGAAATGAAACATTCAGAATTCAAAATACTCCAGAATATTATCAGAGGACATATTGTTCATAGCAGGCTACGGAAAGTTAGACAAACTCCTATGCATGCTCTGGATTTTCAGAAGTGCTGAGCATCTTATTGTCATCCCTGGAAGTTCATTTAAACAAAAACTGCCAGACTGAACTGGATATGAAAGATAATCATGGCTTGTGTACAAACATATCAGCACAAAACATCGCTTTATTGCAGCAGACTAGAATTTTCCTTTTTGAGGTGTTTTTCCTCTCTTCCATCCTGCCTCATTCACCCATGTATATAAAGAGTACATTTTTACCAATTTAAATTTTTCTCAGATTCTATTTTGGTATTACAAAGAACAAACAGACTCTATCCAAAAAATCTGAATGGCTGCCTAAATAAGGAAACTGGAGTCACTAAGCACACTGTTCTAAGCATTCTCATGTGTTTCACAACCTAAAATAGTAGCACAGTCCAATCTACCAGGAGATCAAGAGAGTCATTGCTGCTTGCTCTCTATAATATTCTAATTGCATTGTTGAAAATGACACTTACCTGGAGATGCAGTTTTTCCTACCACAGAACACTGGAGGCAATGGCACAGGCAAAAGTATCAGAGAAGTGAACTGTATGTTAAATGTGAGAAAAGGACCAATAACTTAGTCTCTGTCTGCAATTACAGGAAAATAATTATGCGCATTACACTCCTTTGCTCCCCTCGCTGTGCTACTGCAGAAGTCACACAAAAGTTCCTATTAATTGTATTTAAATCCTATGAAGACATGAAAGGATTCATCCTGACATTATGACAAATGATGAAACATAACATTAACATAAACCTATTTACATATGAAACCCTGCTGCCTGCATACATGCTTTCTCTCTACATTTTCTGGTTTCGCATTCTCTCTTTTCAAGACGCTCAGCCTGGTCTCTCATCGGTTACACCCACGCAAAAGAATAACTTCAATAAAGTCTGTACAAATGCATCATTCCAACTACAAGGCAACATGTAATACTACATTTATTTTGACAAAACTGGTAGATCAGAACAATAAAATTTAACACAATCAATGTTCTCCGTAGCATCTACAGAAAAGACTACTAGTTTTAGAAAAGATAAGACGGTATACATAATTCTTTTTACTTGGCTATACAAAGATACTTGTGTTACCAAAAGGAATCTGGCTATGTTTGTTCAATCTACGTTACAAGAAGGGAACTTTTCTTTTCTGTGTCTGTATTATCCACTGTTGGAAAGCAAGCTCCAGCAAGAAAACTTTGTAGAATTGCTTTCCCAGATAGACCTCTCTGCACTACTTCAGACCCTGGCACTGTTCTTCTGCAACTCTTAACTAGAGTTTGGAGGTCTCCTGTGGAGTATGGTGAACTCTACTAACTTCATTCAGACCTAGCTGACCTAGCTACTGCTTGGTAAAAAGAATTTCCTCTACTGCTACTTAAATCAATGCTCAGCAGAGTCAACTTAAGCACCTTATCAAGCAAAAATCCCAAGACACTTCTAAAAAGAATCACCCTGTTACTTTTATTCTGGGTTACTCCCAAAAGCATTTA